GGCTGGTGTGTCCCCCCTTCTTAAGGACCTAGTCGCTCGGTTCTCCGGACTCAGTTTCTTAATTATATATTGAAGAAATATTAGGAGTAGCTATTATATACATAAAATGCAGTATGCAAATTCTTTAGAGGTATATTACTAGCTGGCTAATTTGAAATTTATATGAACAAAAAAAATCAATCTGATTGCATATATATAAATATTATCGTATAATTAGCATTATTTTGGATATTTATTTGATCATTTATTTTAGATATTGGACATATTCAAATACATTTGTTCTTTATTAGAAATGAATATTTTGGTATGTTTATTTAATTATATTTTAAAATTCTAATCAAGTTCTATAATAATATATATTTTTATATATAGAATATAGAAATCTTTTGAGAAGTTAATATAAAAAAAATTTTTAAAAATCTAAAAATACAAGTAACACAGATTTATTTTTATAAATTAATATTAATTTGTTTAAAAAACTATTTGTAAATAAACTAATGAATGCATAAATAGTTGTTATTGAATAGATTAGGAGACACAAAAACTATGTAGAAAAATGTAGAAAAACAGTTACATACAATTAATATAGAGGACTTAGAATATAACTACTTCTTATATTAGGTATCTTGAATAATACTTTAAAACTATTTACAGATATGACAGAAAAATCTATAAGTGTTTTTAGAAGACCAAGTAATAAAAAATTTAAAATACCAACAAATACCACATTAAAGAGTATCTGTGAAAAGTTTATTCGAAAAGAACAAGAGAAGTATTATAGACTTTCTCAAAAAGTTGGAGATAAAGCATTTAGAAAATTTTTGAAAAATTGCAAGAGTTAACAAATCAAATATTAACAGTGCTAAGTCATGTTTGGATTTCACCTAAGTAGAAAAAAGCATGCAAGAATAAAGAATTGTCTTCCATAAATGAGAGGTTATATGTATTAGAAGTTTTATCACCATTAATAAATATTATAATAAGTAATTTACTAGTAGATTTTAATATATGGGGAATATGGTATATATATTATTTTTTATATATATATATTTTGTATTTTTCTTTGTGTATTATCATACAAATACTAATATTCTTAAAGGAAAGAAAAAGCGAGCTTAGCTAGTATAGAGAGAAAGAGATCATATAAGTAGGCAAGACATCCTGATTATTTGATTATTGCACTATTTAATGGTATAGATGTTGAGATTGGATACCTTGAAACAGGTTATCTGGAATCATCTTTTAACAAACAAATGCAGGACCACAAAAAATTAAATAGGCTTGCTAAAGATTTTATTGATACAGTTAGGAAAAAAGAAAATAAAAAAAAATTTAAAAAGTTGTTAATGCACTACTTAACAATATTTACAATCAACATTGCCAGAAATATCTTGGAGTTTCATTTTGTATGCAAAGATTCTGATTTATTTAGAGTTTCATTGCTTGATTAAGTGAAAATTCCTTTAGATATTATATTAATGAATTCAAAGCAAGTTTATTCTCTAATCCATAACTTACTTTTTTTAGAACAGCAATTGTATACACTATATAAAATATTGTATGGTTTTAAAAATACTATAGAAATGAAATTAGTTATTTCAACAACCTCAAATATGTCAATATCAACACACTCAACAGTTTCATTACCAACATGCTTGTTATGAAAAAGACCTTTCGATAAAATAATGTAGTA